TTTTTTTTTTCTCAGTAAAACACATTTTGTCTTCAGTTATTTTCATATTGCATATTTTTCCTATTTTTTAATTTTTTTTGAAAGTATGGTAAAAACTGGTAAAATGTACCATCAATCACATTTAAAAAATATACACTTTTTGATATACCATTAAAATAAAATAAAAACAGGTAGCCCATCTGAATTAGGACATTTAGGCTATCCATCTACTAGTAGCCTACCAAAATCTTATTAACAGTCGAAGTTAAATCTTACTGTAGTCTTCAAATCTGGGTACTGTCTTACGTTTTAAAATCACAAAGGGAGTTTGGTGCCATCAGGCTAACGTGACAGTCACGACTCATGCAGCTGTAAGGTTTTCTTTTTCTTTTGTTTTTACTCGCGATCTTTACAACACGCATTACATTACGTATTTCATGGCACACTCGTTTTATGCGTATTTGGCGCCACCTAGTGTTGTGGGTGTATTATTGACATGTCAAAATCTAGACCCTGAATATAAGACGACCGCGTTTTTTCAGATGTATTTCCAAGAAAAAAATATCGTCTTATATTCGGGACAATACGGTAAGTGCGGACTTCATAAAATGACCACATAAAAGCATCGAATTTAAAACTAGTTTTAATTATAATAATTTTGTTTAAAACATTACAACATCTATTTTATCTAACTTCACATGCAATGTTCATGGCAATATGATAAACCACATTTCACATAATTGTTCTTTTTTAATGAATTTCAAAGTTTTTTTTCCCCTTTAAGTATTGAGTTGGCGTAAATATTTCAAATATACAGTTAAGAATGATTGTAAAAAACTAAACTATTTTCAAAAAAATATAAAGTCGAAGTGAGCTTTTTTTATGTTAAACAGTGTTGGGCAGTAACGCGTTACTGTAGTTTGATAATTTTTTTAGTTTTAACGCGTTATAATTTCCAAAATAGTAATTAGAGTATAGTTACAAGCCCAGGTCACTTTACGTTACTGTTGCGTTACATCGTTGAAAAGAGAAATCGTTTTTTTAAAGTAAGTCTCACAAAGATGCCTGCCTGTCGCAAACGTGACGTCATCTACCTGAGACCTACTTTGACTGGTATGCGCCTGCGACGCCGGTACTACAAACGAAAACAAACTCAGCATGGATAGTGAAAAGTACGCGTTCGCCAGCTGGAAATACAGTCATTATTTTGAGTTTATTTCTGTGAAAGGCAAAAACATAATTGTGCGTTGTCATTTATGTGGGGGGGAAGAAAACCTTATCAACAGCTAAAAACTCCACATCCAATTTGTTAAAACACCTAAAAGGGCAGCGCAGCACGGTAAAACTTATTGAGAAGGAACTAGGCGCGGGAAAAAAAGGGACATTCTAAAACGCTTAATGTGAAAAACGCTTAACGTGGCTTAACGTACGTAAACAACGACCAGGGAAACCCAAATTTCTGTCAAAACTTACTTGTAATAAACACTAACTGCTGTCAAAAGAACGAGCCCTTATTCCACAGATAAAGTGAACAATATCACATTAAGCGTTCTCCCCCATAGAAGTCCGTTATAAGGAAACAGCTTAACGTGGTTTAACGTACCTTAACAACGACCGGGGAAAACCAAATTTCTGTCAAATTTTACTTATAATAAACACTTGCTGCTGTCTAAAGAACGGGCTCTTATTCAGCGTATAAAGTGAATAATATCACGTTAAGCATTCTACCCCATAGAAGTCCGTTATAAAGAAACAGCTTAAGGTGGACTCATCGACGAATTGAGAACATTGTAATTTTGTTCAGTTTAATTTTGTAATAAGCATGAAAGTAAAGACAGGTACATTTTCTTGTCTCAGCTCATTATCTCTAATGTGATCACGCCCTTGCAGAGCTCTATTCATATGGTAATGATCTATGTATATATTGTATAATTTTAAAAAATCATTACAAATGCACAATATCATATTTCAAAAATCCAAGTAATGTATTATGTGTGTCAGGATTGTGTGAAGATATCACAACCGGTGTGACATCATCAGGTCACATGACCAGGAAGTTATATAGATTTGAATATTTCAAAAATTCATAAAAAATACACAATGACATTTCCAATATTCCAAGTCCTGTGTGATGTGTTACAAGTATTACTGTATATATTACCAAAACAAGTGCCAAAACAATAGCTGTTTCTATCAGTTAAAATAAAAGGTTGGAATACAATGTAACAATTCATAGTGAATATCCCATTCACGGCTTGAAATTATGTATTAATGGTTTTTCACTGAATTCTCATCTTTAAATTTTATTTCTATGATGCTTTGCATGTTTCCAGTCTTGGAATGCATATCTTTTTTTATTATTTTTATGCACTTTTGAGACAGTCCCTTAATTTGCTCAGCGAATGTCTAACGAATGCCCAACATAAAACCAACTTTACCACACCAGTAATTAACACAGTAATAGCAAAAAAATGTACACTTGAGGCACAAATTGTTTATGAAAGATATAAATAATAAATGTATCACATGCTCTGGAACGTTATAAATAAAAGCAAGCAGCGTTTTTCAGCTCAAAAGAGTCTTTAGCAACTTGCCATAAAAGTATAATATTAAAGTCTCCCCCAATAAAAACTAGGGCATCTGGGTATGTGTTAAGCCACAACAGAGTTTTCTCTTCTATCACTTCAAACAGCAAGTCATTCTCATGGGTGACATTATAACCATATATATTAATCAGTATTACTACAATATTATTTAAACAGATTACCAACATCAGAAAATGTCCCTTCTGGTCGCAAAAGTGGTGGTGTAAAACGTCTCCAACAAAGCAGTTTTTCAAAATCATAACTCCAGCTGAATGTTCTGAGCCGTGAGCCAACCAAATGTCATTGTTCCACTGATTTTTCCAAAAAGCAAAATCACTAGGAATGGAGTGGGACTCTTGAAAAAAACAAAAATCAGTCTTGAACGATTTTGCATACAAGAACAAAGCTTTCCATTTAGTAATGTCTCCAAGACCCCTGGCATTGAGTGAAATAACAGTATTACTACAATATTATTTAAACAGATTACCAACATCAGAAAATGTCCCTTCTGGTCGCAAAAGTGGTGGTGTAAAACGTCTCCAACAAAGCAGTTTTTCAAAATCATAACTCCAGCTGAATGTTCTGAGCCGTGAGCCAACCAAATGTCATTGTTCCACTGATTTTTCCAAAAAGCAAAATCACTAGGAATGGGTATAATGTAATCTCTGATGGTGATGACGTCACACCATTCCATAGGCATGAGTGTTTTTAAACCTTTTAAAAACATCAACTTCTGCAGAAAAATGGATTGTAGGTACTGCTCATTATAGTCGGTAATGAAAATTAATTGGAAGTATCCTTTTTAAATGCATATTAACAAAGTTATTGAACACGGAAGTCTGAATGTGCCAATATGAAACCAACTTTACGGCAGTTTCAAATCTCTGTGACATTTCAGCTGTGTCCCAATTCAAAGACCGCATCCTTCGGAGGACGGGTCCTTCGAAGGATGCGGCCGACACGGCCTTCGAAGGACGCTCCGAGTCTAGCCTTCGCAGAATTTCCTGATTGTGCCAGCAGGTGTTCCCGATTAATGCTCCTGTCGCGTGGCAACGGTGCGAGAAGAGAATTGTTAGTTTTTGACTGTATTGACTGTATTTTATACTGGAGGAAATGATGGTTCACCCCCGGCTAGGCCTATATACAGGCCCGGATTGGCCGGATTGGCTCACCGGGAGGATTCCCGGTGGGCCGGTGTTACGAGATTTTTTG